GTCAGACCTTTTCTTGTAGCATCTTTTAATTTCGTGATTACAGTCACCATTTGCAGTGATTTTGGAGCCTAAGAAAATAAAGTCTGTCACTGTTTTGTTTTCCCATCTATTTGCCATGAAGTGATGGGACCAAATGCCATGACCTTCATTTTTTGAATACTGAGTTTTAAGCCAGCCTTTTCACTCTTTTTCACCTTTATCAAGAGGCTGTTTAGTTCCACTTCGCTTTCAGCCATAAGGGTGGGGTCATCTGCATATCTGAGGTTATTCCTGGCCATCTTGATTCCACCTTGTTCTTCATCCAGCCCAGCGTTTCTCATGATGTACTCTGCAAGTTAAATAAGCAGGGAAACAATACACAGCCTTGTCATACTCCATTCTGAATTTTAAACCAGTCCATTGTTCCATGTCCAGTTCCAACTGTTGCTTCTTAGCCTGCACACAGGTTTCTCAGGTGGCAGGTAAGGTGGTCTGGTGTTCCCATCTGTTTAAGAATTTCCCACAATTTGTTGTAATCCACACAGTCAAAGGCTTTAGTGTAGTCCATGAAGCAGATGTTTTTCTGCAATTCTCTTGCTTTTTCTATGACCCAAGGGATGTTGGAGATTTGATCTATGGTTCCTCTGTCTTTTCTAAAACCAGCTTGAACATCTGGAAATTCTCAGGTCACATACTGTTGAGACTAGCTTGGAGAATTTTGAACATTACTTTGCTAGCCTGTGAGATGAGAGCAACTGTGCAAAAGCTTGAACATTCTTTGGAATTGTCTTTCTTTGGGACTGGAATGAAAACCGACCTTTTCCAGTCCTGTGGCCACTGCTGAGTTTTCCAAATTTGCTGGCATGTTGAGTGCAGCACTTTGACAGCATCATCTTTTAGGATTTGAAATAGTTCAGCTGGAATCTCATCACCTCCACTAACTTTATTCAGAGTGATGCTTTCTAACGCTCACTTGACTTCTCATTCCAGGATGTCTGGCCCTAGGTGAGTACTCCCCAAAAGTACGCCCTTTAGGCTTGAAGTTTGAAAAGTCATCTGGTCTCTATAAGACCTGGTGGGAGATTTTTTCCTCTTTCTTTAGAATGCCTCGCAGGCAGAAGACAGCATTGGGCCAAGGTAGATTTGATGGGGTTGATAATACAAAGGCAGGGGAGAGCTGCATGGGATGGGGAACCTTTAAGGAGACACATTTCAGCCCTTAGGGACCGTTCTGCCACATTTCGCTCTCAGTTGGAACTCGGCGTGAACACGGGGACTTCTGCTCTGGTGCCCGAAGAATCAAGGGAGGCGGGCAGTGCTGCCACCTAGCGGCCATGCCTTGTAACAGCCGTCGTAACACAGGTGCCCAGGGAAATGGAAAACTCCCAAGCCTGACGGGCTCTAAAGGACTTTTGCCCTCAAGACCTCACCTGGTTAGGTGTTCGAATAGCTTACTAATCCGGGCAGACATTGAAGAGGATGAGTTAAAAATGAATTTCTGCTAACATTATTTAAAAAAATTTTAAACAAAGGACATACTGATTCCTTCCCAGCCTACATTATTTGAGAAAAGCTTCATCACATCTTCCAAGCGGTAAGCCCTCCCACCAGCCAGAAGAGCCATTTTCAAAAAAGTGGACAAACAGTGTCACCTGGGCAGGGCCTGGAGGAAAAAGGAACCCTTTGGACCACGGTGGCCATAAAAACAGAAAATGAAATGGAGAACAAATCGGTTTATTGAGAATCTTCCAAACACTCTTACCACAAGACCTGGAGATCACAAGTTGGCTCTATATCTCAATAAACTAATTGAAAAGGAGCCTTGAAGCGCAACGTTCATAGCAGCACTATTTACAGTAGCCAAGGTTTGGAAGCCACCATAATATCCATCAACAGATGAACGCATAAACATGATATGGTATGTGCAAAGAAGGGAAGGATGCTCACTGTAAAATACGATGAAATCATGTCGGTAGCCACCAACGACCAGGACCAGGGATCCTCACACACAGGGAGCTAATTCAGACAGAGGAAGAGGGAGACCGTGCGGTATCCCCAGTGCGTGGGATCTCAGAACTGACACAAAGCAACTCCACGGGAAGAGAGAACCAGACCCACAGTCTTGGAAAACCCAGCCAGTTTTCCTGACAACCAAACAGCCGGACAGGCTTCAGTCAAGACGTTTCCACTGACATATACACCCTCCTAGGTGTAAGCATCGATCTTCAACTGGACCTAGTCTAGAGTAAAAGGGACCCAGTCAATCCTCTACACTACCCTGAAGGAACAGAAAAGTCCAGAAAAAAAGGAACAAGATATCTGTGGATATGGAGCAGAATCAAAATGCTGTACGCCCTACACAAATGCAAGATTCAAAATTGACTAACATCGATTCGGAAAAAAAAAAGTTCCTTTTCAAATGCAAGGAAATGCCTTCTGTGTTCCAGGCAGGCCTCGCAGAACAGAGATGTGGTCACATCTTTGCAGCATGAACAGCCCTGGAACCAGAGAATGGAGTGTTTTAGGGCTGAGGGAGATCAGAAAAATACGAGAACAAATTATCTTAGGGGGCAGCTCTATTGTTTGTCCTCTCTGGATGAAATAAACACCTCCACACTCGGGCCTGCCTATCACAGCTAATCCAAGCCTAGAGAACCCAGAGAAAGTCCGCCCTTTAGGCTAGAAGTTTGAAAAGCCCTCTGGTCTCTGTAAGTCCCGCTGGGAAGCTTTCCACCTGCTAGTCTTTCTTTAGAATGCCTCACAGGGAGAGGACAGCATCAGGCTAGGGTAGATTTGAAGGCGTTGATAATGCAAACGTGGTGGAGTGCTGCATGGGATGGGGAGCCTTTAAGGAGACACAATTCGGCCCGTAGGGACTGTTCTGCCACATTTCGCTCTCCCTTGGAACCCAGCAGGTACAAACGTACTTCGGCTCTGATGCCCCAGCATCAAGGGGAGGAATGAACAAGTGCCGCCGCCTTGTGGCCACTGCTTGTAAGAACAGCTTTAACAACAGGGCTCGGGGAAATTAAAAACTCCCAAGCCTGAGAAGCTCTAAAGGACCTTTGCCCTCAAGACCTCGTCTGGTTAGGTGTTTGAATAAGGTTACTAATCGGGGCAGGCAGTGTAGAAGCTGATTTCAAAATGAATTTCAGTTACAAAATTTAGAATGTTTTAAACCAAGGACATACCGATTCCTCCCTACATTTTTCCAGAAATGCAAATCAGATCTTCAAAGTGGTAAGCCCTCCCACCAGCCAGAAGTGTGCCATCCTCGAAAAGTGGACACACAGGATAACCTGGGCCGCGCCTGGCGGGAAGAGGCCCCTCCTTGGTGCATGTTGTCCAAAAACAGAAACCGAGCAGAACACAATCCGGCTCTAGGGAAATTTCAAACCACTTGAACCATAAGGCCTGGAAATCAACGTGGATGTGTATCTAGACAAACTCCAAATGGAAAAGACACTAGCAGCACAACGTTGATAGCAACAGTATTTACAGTAGCCAAGATTTGGAAACCACTATAATATCCATAGACAGATGGATGCATACACACGATGTGGTATGTGCAAAGGCACAGGTACTCATCCATCAAATACAATGAAATCATGTTGGTGGCAGCAAGCTACAAGGACCTGGCGATTCTCGTATTCAATGAGCTAATTCTGACAGAGGAAGAAAGAGACCATATGGTATCCCTGGTGTGTGGAATCTCAAAAGTGATACAAAGCAACTCAATCTGAAGATAACCACAGACCCATAGGCTTGGACGACTCAACCAGAATTCCTGAAGACCAAGCAGCTAGGTAGGGATAAACCAAGACATTTCCATTGCCATATACACCCTCATAGGTGTAAACACTGAACAGCACCTGGACCTAGTCTAGAGGAAAGAGACCCAGTCAACCGTCTATTCTGTCTATACTGCTCTAAAGAGACAAAAACATCAAAAAGAAAACAGCAAGATATTAGAGGACATGTAGCAGGATCAAAATGCTCTACACCCTACACAAGTACAATGTTGAACATTGACTAAGATTGATTCGAAAAAGAAAATTCCTTTTCAAATACAAGGAAATAACTTCGTGTTCCGGGCAGGCCTCAGAGACCAGAGCTTCAGCCATATCCCTGAAACATGAACAGCCCTGGAACCAGCAAATGGTTTGCCTTAGGGTTGAGGGAGCTCAGAAAAATATGTGGGCAAATTTCCCTGAGTGCCAGCTGTATGGTTTGTCTTCTCTGGATGAATTCAACATCTCCACTCGCTAGTCAGCCTTTCACAGCTAATCCAAGCCTAGTGACCCCCAACGAAGTTTTCCCTTTAGCTTGGAGACTGTTATCCGGTCTCTATAAATCTCGATGGGAAGCTTCTCACCTGCTACTCTTTGTTTAGAATGCCTCACAGGTGGAGGACAGCATCCAGCCAAGGAGATTTGAAGGGGTTGATAACGCAAAGGTGGTGGAGTGCCGGGGGGATGGGGAACCGTAAGGAGACATAATTTAGCCGTAGGGATTGTTCCGCCCTGTTTCACTCTCGTCGGGAACCCAGCAGGAACACGTGGACTTTGTCCCCAGGATCAAGCTGAGGAATGAAGACATGCTGCCCCCTTGTGGCCTCCTGTAGCAACAGCTTTAACGCCCACACTCAGGGAAATGGAAAACTCAGGAGCCGGAGGGGCTCTCAAGGACCTTTGCCTTAAAAACCTCACCTGGTTAGCTGTTTGAATAAGGTTACTAATCGGGGCAGGCAGTGTAGAAGCTGATTACAAAATGAATTTCAGTTACAAAATTGAAAAATTTTAAACAAAGGACATACCGATTCCTCCCCACCCTACATTATACCAGAAATGCAAATCAGATCTTCAAAATGGTAAGCTCTCCCACCAGCCAGAAGTGTGCCGTCCTCAAAAAGTGGACACACGGGATCACCTGGCTGGGGCCTGGTGGGAAAAGGACCCTCCTTGGACCATGTTGTCCATTAAAATAGAAAGTGGGAAGGAGGACACACTCGAGCTTTTGAGTAACTTCAAGCCACTTTAACCAAAATGCCTGGAAATCACAAGTTGGATCTATAGCTCCACAAACTCTAATTGGAAAAGAGACTTGCAGCGCAACGTTGGTAGCAGCAATATGCCCATAGGCTTGGACGACCCAACCAGCATTCCTGAAGACCAAGCAGCCAGGTAGGGTGAAATCAAGACGCTTCCATTGCCATATACACTCTCATAGATGTGAAAATCGATCATCTATTGGATCTTGACTAGAGAAAAGCAACCCAAGTCAATCATCTATATTGCCCTAAAGGGACAGAAATATTGGAAAAAACAAGATATTAGTGGACATGGAGCAGAATCAAAATGCTGTTCACCTACACAAGTACAGCATTGAAAACTGACTAAAATCGATTCGAAAAAGAAAGCTTCTCTTCACATGCAAAGAAATGACTTCTGTGATCTGGGCAGGCCTCAGAGACCGGAGCTGCTGCCACATTCCTGAAGCCTGAACAGCCCTGGAACCAGAGAATGGATTGCCTTAGGGTTGAGGCAGCTCAGAAAAATATGTGAGCAATTTTCCTGGGTTCCAGCTATATGGTTTGTTCTCTCCGGGTAAATTCAACACCTCCCCACCCTGGCCACCCTTTCACAGCTAAGCCACGCCTAGTGACCTCCAACAAAGCCCTCCCTTTAGACCTGAAGTTTGAACAGTTATCTGGTCTCTATAAATCTTGGTAGGAATCTTTCCTCCTCCTACCCTTTTTTTACGAGGCCTCACAGGCAGAGGACAGCATCTGCCTAGGGTAAATCTGAAGGCAGTGATAACGCAAAGGTGCTGCAGTGCTGGATGGGTTGGAGAACCTTTAAGGAGACACAATTGGGCCGTTAGGGATTGTTCTGTCATATCTGATGTCATTTGGAACATAGCATCAGTAGGTGGACGTAGGCTCTGGTGCTGCCAGAAACAAGTTGATGAATGAAGAAGTGCTGCCGTCTTGTGGCCACTGTTTAACAGCAGTTTTAAAACCAGTGCTCCTGAAAATTGAAAACTCTCGGCTCTAAAGGCCTTTTGCCCTCAAGACCTCACTTGGCTAACTGTTTGAATAAGGTTACTAATCCACTCAGGCATTTTAGAGGCTTATTTCAAAATGAATTTTACTAAAAATATTTTTTAAAAATTTAAAAAAGAGGACATGCCTATTCCTTCCCAGCCTACATTATTGGAGTAATGCAAATCACATCCTTGGAGTTGTATGCACTCCCACCGGCCGGAAGAGTCATTCTCAAAAAAGTGGACAAACAGTAGCACCTGGGCAGGGCCTGGAGGGAAATGTACCATCCGTCCGTGGAGCACGCTGGCCATAAAAACAGAAAATGGAATGGAGAACAAATCAGTTTATTGAGAATCTTCCAAACACTCTTACCACAAGACCTGGAAATCACAAGATGGAGCTACATCTTGACAAACTCCAATTGGAAAAGAGACTTACAGTGCAACATTCATATCAGCACTGTTTACAAGAGCCAGGATTTGGAGGTCACCATAATATCCAGCGACAGATGAATGCATAAACAAGCTGTGCCTTGTGTAAAGAAGGGAAGGATACGCAGCATCAAATACGATGAAATCATGTCAGTGGTGGCAAACTCCAAGGACCCAGAGATCCTCCGACTCAGTCAGCTAATTCTGACAGAGGAAGAAAGGGACCATATGGTATCCCTGGTGCGTGGAATCTCAAAAGGGACACAAGGCAACTCAGTCTGAAAACAGACACAGACCCATAGGCTTGGACGGCCCAACTAGCATTCCTGAAGGCCAAACAGCCAGGGAGGGCCAAATCAACTCACTTCCATTGCCATATACACCCTCATAGGTGTAAACATCAATCATTTTTTGGACCTAGTCTAAAGAGACTCCATTCAAATCATCTATACTGCCCTAAAGGGACAAAAAAATTGGAAAAAAAAAGCAACAAAGTATTAGTGGACATGGAGCAGAATCCAAATGCTGTACACCCTACCCAACTACAGCATTGAAAATCGACAAAAACTGATTCAAAACAGAAAGTTCCTTTTAAATTGCAAGGAAATGACTTCTGTGATCCAGGCAGACCTTGGAGACCAGTTGTGCGGCCACATCCCTGAAGCATAAACAGTTCTGGAATCAGGGAATGGGCTGCCTTCGGGTTGAGAGAGGGCAGAAAAATATGTGAGCATATTTTCCTGGGTTCCGGCTATATGCTTTGTCCTCTGTGGATGAATTCAACATCTCCCCACCCTGGCCGCCCTTTCACAGCTAATCCAAGCCTAGTGACCCCCCAACAACGTCCTCCCTTTAGACTTGAAGTTTGAACAGTTATCTGATCTCCATAAATCCCAGTGGGAATCTTTCCTCCTGCTCCTCTTTCTTTGGAATGCCTCACAGGCGGAGGACAGCGTCCAGCTGGGGCAGATATGAAGGAGTTGATAATGCAAAGGTGCTGCCGGGCCGCACGCGGTGGGGAACCTTTAAGGGAACACAATTCAGCCTTCAGGGATTGTTCCTCACATTTCACTCGCATTTGGAACACAGCATCTAAACGTGGACTTCAACTTGGATTCCCCCAGAATCAAGGGGAGGAATGAAGAACTGCTGCTGCCTTGTGGCCGCTGCAAGGAACCCTGGCTTCAACGACAGGGCTCAGGGCAATTGAAAACTCCCAAGCCCGAGGGGGTCTGGGGACTTCCGCCCTCAAACCCGCACCTGGTTTAATGTTGGAATAAGGCTACCAATCAGGCAGGGGTCATAGAGGCCAGTTTCAAGAGAAATTTTACAAACTATATTTAAAAATTAAACAAAGAATATACCGACTCCTTCCCAGCCTACATTATTTGAGAAAAGCTTCATCACATCTTCTAAGCAGTAGGCCCTCCCACAAGCCAGAAGAGCCATTTTCAAAAAGGTGGACAAACAGTATCACCTGGGCAGGGCCTGGAGGGAAAAGGACCCCTTGGACCACGGTGGCCATAGAAACAGAAAATGGAATGGAGAACAAATCGGTTTATTGAGAATCTTCCAAACACTCTTACCACAAGACCTGGAAATCACAAGTTGGCTCTATATCTCAACAAACTCTAATTGAAAAGGAGCCTTGAAGTGCAACGTTCATAGCAGCACTATTTACAGTAGCCAAGGTTTGGAGGCCACCATAATATCCATCAACAGATGAATGCATAAACATGATGTGGTATGTGCAAAGAAGGGAAGGATGCTCAGCCGTGAAATACGATGAAATCATGTCGGTAGCCGCCAACGACCAGGACCAGGGATCCTCACACACAGTGAGCTAATGCCGACAGAGGAAGAGGGAGACCGTGCGGTATCCCCGGTGCGTGGGATCTCAGAACTGACACAGAGCAACTCCATGGGAAGAGAGAACCAGACCCACAGTCTTGGAAAACCCAGCCAGTTTTCCTGACAACCAAACAGCCGGACAGGCTTCAGTCAAGACGTTTCCACTGACATATACACTCTCCTAGGTGTAAGCATCGATCTTCAACTGGACCTAGTCTAGAGTAAAAGGGACCCAGTCAATCCTCTACACTACCCTGAAGGAACAGAAAAGTCCAGAAAAAAAAAATGAACAAGATATCTGTGGATACGGAGCGGAATCAAAATGCTGTACACCCTACACAAATGCAAGATTCAAAATTAACTAACATCAATTTGGGGGGAAAAAAGTTCCTTTTCAAATGCAAGGAAATGCCTTCTGTGTTCCAGGCAGGCCTCACAGAATGGAGATGTGGTCACATCTCTGAAACATACACAGTCCTGGAACCAAGGAATGCAGAGGTTTAGGGCTGAAGGAGATCAGAAAAACATGGGCACAAATTCTCTTGAATGGCATCTCTATTGTTTGTCCTCTCTGGATGAAACCAACATCTCCACACCCTGGCCTGCCTATCACAGCTAATCCAAGCCTAGTGACCCCCCAAAATGTCCACCCTTTAGGCTTGAAGATTGAAAAGCAATCTGGTCTCTATTAGTCCCATTGGGAAGCTTTTCACCTGCTAGTCTTTCTTTAGAATGCCTCGCAGGGAGAGGACAGCATCCAGCTAAAATAGATTTGAGGGGTTGATAATGCAAATGTGGTGGAGTGCTGCATGGGATGGGGAGCCTTTAAGGAGACACAATTCGGCCCGTAGGGATTGTTGTTCACATTTCACTCTCATTTGTTTATCTAGACAAACTCTAGTTGGAGAAGAGTCTTGCAGCACAATGTCCACAGCAGCAGTATTTACAGTAGCCACGATTTGGAAACCACTATAATATCCATTGGAGAAGGAAATGGCAATCCACTCCAGTACTCTTGCCTGGAAAACTCCATGGATGGGGGAGCCTGGTAGGCTACAGTCCACGGGGTCACGAAGAGTCGCACACGACTGAGCGACTTCACTTTCTTTCTATAGTTTCTTTTGGAGGAGGAAATGGCAACCCATTGCAGTATTCTTGCCTAGAGAATCCCATGGACGGAGGGGCCTGGTGGGCTGCGGTCTATGGGGTTGCGAAGAGTCGGACACGACTAAGCAACTAACAAACACACACACACACACATAATATCCATAAACAGATGGATGCATACACACGATGTGGTATGTACAAAGTTATAGGTACTCACCCATCAATATGATGGAATCATGTCTGTGGCAGCAAGCTACAAGGACCTGGGGATCCTCATTCTCAGTGAACTAATTCTGACGGGAAGAAAGAGACCATAAGGTATCCACGGCACATGGAGTCTCAAAAGTGACACCAAGCAACTCAGTCTGAAGGCAGACACAGACCCACGGGCTCGGACGAGCCAACCAGCATTCCTGAAGACCCAGCAGCCAGGGAGGGTTCAATCAGGACGTTTCCATCACCTTATACACCCCCTTGGTGTAAACACAGATCATCAATAGGAGTTAGCCTAGAATGAAAGAGTACCCAGTCAATCGTCCATACTGCGGTGAAGGAGAAATTGGCACTCACCAAGAGCCCTGCCAATGACTGAACGACAAAGGCATTTGTCATCTGCCTCTGGAGACTGAACCCCACACTGCTATAGCTGCTGACCTTCAACATCCCCTGCGGGCGTTCAGGGTGGAGTGGGGCCCTCTGTGCTCCAGGGAATCTGGTGGGACAGGTCTTCCGGTAATTGTATGTTTTTAGGGACAGATTTTATGATCTCCAACCTTGCATCTCCTCATATCTAGAGAAGCACTAACTCCCTTCATGGTGACATCAGATCCTCATGACTAACAAAAACCCTTTTCTAAAATGAGCGCTTCATGGTGTTGAACTCCCCCTTCACCAAAACCTTGTATGACCTTCCCCCACTGCCGCTCTGGAGCATCTCTCAGAGCTATCTGAGATGCTGCCTCTCAGGCTGCAGTCCGCATTTTGCCCCAAATATAAAACATAACTCATTACTCTGAAGTTGTGCATCTTCTTAGTTGACACTCCCCTAACGGGACAAAACATCGAAAGAAAGAAGCAAGATATTAGTGGCCATGGAGCAGAATCAAAATGCTACATACCCTACACAAGTGCAACATTGAAAACTGACTAAAATCGGTTCAAAAAAGAAATCTTTTCAAATGCAAGGAAATGACTTCTGTGGCCTGGGTAGGCCTCTGAGACTGGAGCTGGGGCCATAACCCTGAACCCTGAACAGCCCTGGAATCAGAGAATGGGCTGCCTGAGGGTTGAGGGAGCTCAGAAAAATATGTGAGCAAATTTTCCTGGGTTCCGGCTACACGCTTTGTCCTCTGTGGATGAATTCCACACCTCCCCACCCTGGCTGTCCTTTCACAGCTCATCCAAGCCTAGTGACCCCCTCAACAAAGCCCTCCCTTTACAC